GAATGAGGGGGTGGGCCCTTCTACGACTTGTCTCAGCCACTGGCCAGGGTTCTGGGGGTTTGGTTTCTCGGGGCTTGCCCTCCTCCCCAGGCACAGCAGACTGAGCAGGCCCAGAGGACTGGGTGTGACGTCTGAGCCGCATGTGCCACCGGTGGTCTGGGGTGCGGGGACCCAGGGCATGGAGGGAGAGGCCTCTGTCGGAACAACTGGAAGCTGGGGTCCCGGCCACCTCGCCCTTCCCACCTGTGCAGCCCCCGTCTCGGGACGGGCGGTTGGTTGGTTGTGTTGAGTCTTATATTGCGAGTTCTGGGGAATTTGCTCTTCCTTACGGACAGACTGTGGCTGGGCCGAGTGATGCTCCAGGCTGGGCCAGGCCTGCCCTGGGCTCGGCGTTCTCGGCATGCGCTCCAAGCTCTCCAGGTGAGAAGGTCAGGCTGGGATGACCTTCCCCAGACATGGCCATCGCTGCTGTCACTAGTCCTGTCCCTCCCGCATGTCCATGGGGGCCGTAGCGCTGGTGCTGGTGCTGCTGGGATCTGGCGCTGGGCAGGGCCCAGGACAGCCTCTGACGGCTACCCACCCTCACGGGGGACCAGAGAGGCCTGCGCAGTCCCGCCCCAGCCCCTTCTTTCTGGGCCGGCCTCTCTGTGGTAGTGACTCGCGTGAGGCTCCCGTACGTGGGTGGCTGCCGCAGGAGATACAGTTTGTGGGTTTAGAGACCAGAACAGCCTGAGCCGGCATCACATCAGCAACCACTTGTAGCCAGGGAGGGGTGCACACGCCCACCCTGCTCCCTGTGTCCCGCAGGGGCGAGGGGGGCAGAGTGCGCGGGGCAAGCGCCCTCTGTAACCACCACGCTGGAGAGGCTTGTCCACAGCCTGGCGAGGTGGCAGGAGTGAACCCAAGTGGAACCAGAAAGTGGCGGCAGGGCCAGCGGGGCCTCCGGGGCGGCTGCCAGGGGTTCCGGGCAGCCTCTGCTCTGGTGTCAGCATTCCAAACCTTGCACGTCTTGCAGGAGCAGCGTGTTTGGTTCCTGTTTCCCTGGTGCCATGGAGATGGGGTGCTGGGAGATGCCTGGGGCTAGAGCCCGGCAGGGTCGCGACACCGGCGGTCCTGACCCAGCCTTTTCTTCATTCCAACACCCCATAGGTTACCGTTTGGGTCAGTTTCCACTGAAATGATTTCGAAATTGCAGAAAGGTTGCAGAAACAGTCTGGAGAAAGTTTGATTCTGCTCCGTTTGAGGAGTCCCATCGTGGCCCTTCTGCCCGAGTCCCCCACACCCTGGCTTCTGCTCGGAGCTGCACTGGCTGAGCCAGCCCCTTCCCACCCCTTCCCCACCAGCTTCCACACGCCCCACAGATGCCCTGACGCCCCACGTTTGGGCGTGCTGTCACCTCCCTGTGGTTTGAAGCTGGGCCCTGCTGCACCTGCGGTCTAACACCCGCCCCGGGCTGCAGCCACCCTGCACCTGGAGGCCAGGCGGGTGGCCCGTGCATTGGGGGTGGGGTCTGTCGTCAGGCCAGCTGGACAGGCAGCGTGATCTTGGATGCCAGCGCCAAGCCCTGGGTGCTCCTGCTGTTTCTCCAGCCACAGGGGCCCAGGTGACTGCAGAGTCGGCCCCTCCCTTCTGGTCAGGGAGTGAGAGGTCAGGGGTGCTGAGGAGGAAAGTGGGTCCCTGCAGGCGCGGCTGGAAGGGCACACGAGGCCGCCAGCGCCCGGACCAGGGCCCTTGGGAAAGGGATTAAATGCCCTCGGGAATCACAGGCTTTGGAGGTTTTGTGCTCGTTCCCAAAATGAAGTCTGAAGTAGCTTAACAGGATTACTGCCTTTCTCCTGACAGAACTCGTTTCTGCTTTGTTTTTCCTTGGACACCATGGGTCTGTTGTGCTAGCCAGGAAAATCTGCTTGCCTTGGAAAGGAGAGCAGGAGACACGCATCTCGCATGGACTTGTTCTGGGGGGATTGTGTCTGAGGCTGAAGCCACGTCATCGCGGGGAAGATCAGTTCAGGCCGAGGGAACGGGGCCAGCCTCGGGTCCGCGCTGTTCTAGAGCAAATTAGAGGCAGAGGTGCCGTTACCAGCACCCTCTCCGCCCGCACAGCCCCGATGCCGGGCGCATCTGGCAAGCGTGGGCCCTTCCCTGCCCCCAGCCCCGAGCTAAGGAGGCTCCTCTGGCCACACGCGGGGCCAGCGCCACGGCTCCACGTGGACTGAGCACGGGGCCGCCTGTGGGGGCCGCCTCGTCGGGGCTCTCCGTGGGGCAGCCCTCCGTCCCTGTTGCCAAACAGGCAGTGACAGTCTGTCTGGATTATGTCCCAGATTTGCACGTCATGTGGAAGCCACACTGGTACTCGTCTCCTAGTCTGTTTTCTTTTGCTTCCAACAGAGTACCTGGAAGTCGGTAGCTTATTTTTAAAGGACTTTATTTCTTATGGTTCGGGAGGCTGAGAAGGCCCAGGTCGAGGGGCCCCGTCTGGCGAGGGCTTCCTGCTGGTGGGACTCGGAGGAGCGCGGACGTGGTGCGGGCACTCCTGGCGAGGGCCTGCGCGCGCTGACGTGCCGCTCAGTGTGCCTGCCGCCTCCTGCGGGGCACCCGCGTCCTCCCGTGACGACCCTCAGTCCATAACCCACGGATGGATGACTGCACAACCTCCCCGCACTCACGGGGCAGAGCCCTCCTGACCCAGCCACTTCTCGGAGCAGCCACGCTGGGGGTGACGATTCCACGTGAGCTGTGGAGGGACGTCAGACCGTAGCACCGTCACGCCATTCCCGGCACGCGGGGCTGTGGGAGGCTCGGGAAGCCGCAGGGGCCGCCCCCTGCACTCCCAGTCCCACTGCCCAGTGCACGGGCCCTGCCCCGTCCTGTGGTCCTGCCCGGATGCCAGAGGGCAGGCTGCTCTGCGCTGGCCGAGGGCACTGTCCCCTCTGGCTGGTTCCAGCCCATCTGGGCACCGTCTGAGCTGTGGCCGTCCTTGGAAAAGGAAAGACACGGAGCCGGGGGAAGCGCCAGCTGGCGATGCCCAGACCTCTCCAGGGCCGGCTGGTTTGGCTGCTGGCCACGCACTGGTTTTTGCCGACACGGGCTGACCGTCTTTGTCCGGGTGCTAGTTGGCTTCCGGTTAATGTGGGGCAGGCCTCACTGATGTCACCGTGGAGCACGTGGCCAGACTTCCTGCCCAGCCTGGGCTCGTGCCAGGGGCGCTGGGCACCACACCATGGGGGGGCAGTCGTGACCGGGCCGGTTTTCAGCACACTGAGAAGCTACACCCGTGTCCACACCTTGGCTCATGGTTCATTTTGGGGAGTAAACCTCCAAATCCCATGTGTCCCTGCTCCCTTCTGCGTGTTCCTGCGGTGCAGGGGAAGTGTCCGCGTGTCCCAGCCTGAGGCTGCTGTGACGCCAAGGCCTGTGGCTGAAGAGGGTCTACGGCAGCTCCCTCAACCCTGGGCAGGTTCCTGTCCCCTGGGCCTCAGTTTTCTCATCTGTAAGATGGACTAGTTCATCGAGTCAGTGACTGCACTGGAGCCAGCTCCTGGGTCGGGGACGAGCAGGTGCATCTCTGCCTGGGTGGGTGACAGGCTGGGAACTCGAGTTGCTGGCTTTGCATTTCCTTGTGGAGTGCCTGCAGGTGCAGCTAGGCCTGCCTGGCTGTGGGAGCACAGCACTCCTGGAGGCCTAAGCAGCAGGGAGGTTCTCTCACAGTCCCGGAGGCGGGACGTCCAGGGTCACGGTGCAGCAGGGCTGGGTCCTGTGAGGCCTCTTTCCTCGGTGTGCAGACGGCGTCTCCTCCTTGTGTCCTCACAGGGTCGTCCTCTGTGGGTGTCTGTGTCCTCAGCTCTTCTTACGAGGACACCAGTCAGACTGGGTCAGGGCCCACCCTGGTGACCTCATTTTACCTTAATCACCTCTGTAGAGACCCTGTCTCCAAATACAGTCACATTCTGGGGTCCTAGGGGGTAGGACTTCAGCACATGGATTTGTGGGGGAGGAGGACCGGAAGGAAGGAGTGGAGGTGGCGCGTCTGAGTTCAGAAGCAAACAAGGTGGACGTAACAAGTGCGCGAGTTGGTTCTCTAGAGTAAAACAGGGAAGTATTAATGGAGGCGGAGAAGGAAGCACAGACCTGGGAGTTAGGCAGCAGATGTGGGCGCCAGTGAGGCGAGACAGTACAGTCTCTGCGGTGACCCTGGACGCCCAGTGCCCTGGAAGGACCCAGGAACCTGGGTCAGGGCTGGGGCGGGCGGATTGGGAGCGTTCGCCTTCGGGTGTGTCGTTTTGTGGTTCCTGGTGGGATCATGCCCTTTATGTGGCAGTGGGGTGGCCAGGCCGTAGGGTCTCACCTGAGGAAGTTGATCCCAAGAGCACCTCTTGCCTCTGCAGGGAGCTGTGTGTCCCAAGTGCCCACAGGTCACCGTTGGTGCCCGGCAGTTGCCCCATGTGAGGCCACCCTGGCCGCAGGGGTGGTTCTGGCTAAACTTGGAAGGGTTTCCTCTTCCCCTGGCCAGCGTGAGACTAGGCCGTGAAACTGAGCCGCGCAGCCCTTGCCTGGAGCACTGCCCCGGGGGCCGCAACCCTCTGTCCTCCCCTCCCCGGGCCTCCCTCCTGCCCCCTGCCCCCCACTCTGGTTCATACGAAACCCCCTTCCCCAAGTGCTCCTCCACAGGGCACCCAGTGGTCAGTGGCCAGGCGTCCCTCGGAAGGACAGTGGTGCTTGGCCCCCGATGTGCAGCACACACTGCACCAGCACCACCTACTGCTCTGCTGGCTGAGAGGCAGGGACGGCCGCACCCCCAACCTCCGTGCCCCACCCCCCACGCACAGACCAGCTGCTGAGAGCCCAGTGGGATGTGGGCAGCAGTGGCCCTCACACAGCCAGAATCTGCCCGAGTCCTGTATCCCGTCCGTGTGCTTGGGAAGTCCAGGCTTTTGTCCTGGTGTTTCAAGCAGACACGGCACCTGCATGCCTTGTGCTCACCGCGTGTTCTCTGTCCCCAGGTGCGGAGGCCAAGGCTGTTCTGCCCAAGAAGGAGAAGCTGAAGCTGAGACGGGAGCGGTGGCTGCAGAGTAAGTCCCTGTCGTGTCTTGGGGCTTCCACCCTGGGGCACTCCCTGTCGGGTCCCCTGGGAGCAGGTGCCGAGGGCATCACCTGGGAGGCGGCCATGGGGCACAGAGGGCAACTGAGGCGCAGAGAGGGCAGCTGGGAGACTCGGCAGCACGGCCGAGCTGCTCTCTGTGGGGCCTGCGGGGTCCGGGCCCCCTCTCCCTGGAAGACAAGCTTGAGGAGCTGCTGCTCTTGGGTCCTTGTTTGTAAGAAAACACCTATTTTTGCTTCCCATGGAGAGAGTTTTAATTACAGAAGTAACCCGTGCTTGCTAGCGTCTTTTATGTGTTAGAAATACCTGCAGTAGCCTGTGAAACCCCTCTCGGGCCAGACCTGCACGTGACAACGCGGTTTCTGTGCACAGTGTCTCCGCGTGGCGGGGCCCCTGGGGTCCCCGCTCCCTCTCAGGGCCTGGGGCCTTCTCCCCCAGTCTCCGTCCAGGAGTCGGGCTGTCCACGCACGTCCCGCCAAACGCCCCACCGCAGGCCTTGCACCCCCTTCCTACCGTTTAGTTTTGGAGTACGTGGTCAGCTTTCACAACTTGGGATGTTTGCTGATGTTTTTCCAAAGATTTTCTTGTCAAGATTGTTGCGCAATTTTTTCCTTATTGTTATCTTTTCGGTGTGATTCTGCTGACTTTGTGAAATTAACTTGGAATATTTTCTTTTTTGTGTTCTCACATGTTAAAGTATGATTTGCATCATTTTTTCCTTGGGGGTTTTAAAGAAATTTTATGTTTTTCAAAGGTAGTACTTAGAAAAGTTTGTCAGTGTTTTCCACGATTATTACTTTCATGTTTTCTATCATTTTTTGGATGTGTTCTAAGGAAGTGACTCCTCCCCAGTTTTGTTTGCACAGTTCTAGTTGTGCGGGGTGGGTCTGGACAAGCCAGTGGGCCGGGGCCCTCTGGACCTGGGACTCTTCTGAGCCGTGATGCTTTGAGGACACATAAACTGTCTTCCATGGTGCTTGTTTTTTAATTTTTTTTTAACTGCTTGAGTCAGCATTGGTCACTTGTATTTTCCCATAAAAGAATCAAATTCAATCAGATCTCAACCTTTATGAGCAAAGGGCTGTGTGTTGCTTTCTCATATAAGACATGTATGTCCTAAGTGTTTTGTTTACCGCTCTTTGTTGTTGCTTCCCCATTTCTGATTAGATTAGTTAAGAAATTTTGTCTCTTCCATTCCAAGAATTAATTCATGGATTTAATGGTCAATTCTACTCTCTTGTTCTCTAAGTTACTAGTTTCTGTTTTATTAGTTCCCTGTTGGAGCTTTCTTGAGGTTCGTTTGTGAAGCTCGTCTACTTCTGTGTGTTTTGTTTAGGAATGAAAGGCTGTGAGCTTTAGCTACATCTCCCAAGTTGTCTATACTTCATATTTTATTATGAAATATTTCATTTGGGAAAGTGAGAAGAATTTTATGGTGAACACACTTGTGCCTACCATGTGGATTTTCAACAGTAAAAATCCAGTCTTTATCACATAACTGTTCACCTGTCAGTTCCTGTCTGTTTGTCCATGAACACCTGTTTTTATGCATTGTAGAGTAAGTTGAAGCCATCAGTACACTTTCCCCCAAATAATTCTGCTGGAGTTCAATATTTGTTCGTGGTTCTTTTATTTTTCTTTTGAAAATTGTGTTTACGTGTGCTGAAATGTCCACCTTAAGTGTGCCTTACGGTGATTTCTGGCATCCCTTGCGGGATACTGACCGTCACTGTCACCAAAGGTCCCCAGCCCCTTCCCAGTCAGTCCCACTCCTGCTATTCCCAAGGTGGTAACCACAGTTGGGTCTTTTTTAGTCTGTAGTCGAGGTTTTTGTGCTGTAGACTTCATGTAAACGGAATCATGTGGGATGTGTTTCTGTGTCTGGCTTCTCTTGCTCAGAGTAATGTTCTTTGAAATCCATCCAGACTGCATGTAGCAGTCTGTGCCTTTTTCATGCTGGGCATTGTTCCGTTGTGTGGATATACCTTTCGTTATCTACTTTCCTAGTGACACCTGGGCTTTTTCCCATTTTTAGCTGCTACGAGTGAGGCTGCTGTGAACATTCTTCACAAGTCTTTATGTGGACATGTTTTCGTTTCTCGTGGGTAAATACTCAGGAATGGAACGCTGGGTCATAGGGTAGGTGCATGTTTAGTTTTATAAGCAGCTGCCAGACGTTTTTCTAAAGCGGTTGTGCGTTACACTCCCACCAGCAGCGTGTGAGAGTTCCTGTTGCCCCATAACTTTGCCAGCGTGTGGTGTGCGTCTCCTCAGCCTTGGCCGTCTGGTGATCGTGACCTGGTAGCTCACGGTGTTGTTAATTTTTATTACCACAAAAAGAGCATTTCATGAAAATGTGTTGATGCTTCATCCTCAGTGAAAGTCATCCTCCACGAGGCTGTTTGCCTTTTTATTGTTGTGCTCTAAGAATTCTTTGTATGTCCTGGAGGCCAGTCCTTGCTTGGGTATGTGTTTTGCAAATATTTTCTCCCAGACTGCGACTTGCCTATTCGTTTTCTTAAGAATTTATTTTGGTGAACAGAAGTTTAATTTTGAGAAGTTAAATTTATATTTTTTTCTTACGTGGTTATTGTGTATATGTGTGTGTCCTGTTTAAGAACGTTTTGCCTAATCCCAAGTCATATGCTTTCTTCTAAGAACTTGATACTTTAAGTTTTTATATTGAGTTTTCGGGTCCGTCTTGGATTAACGTTTGTCTGTGGTGTGAACTGGTGTTTAAGGTCCTTTTTTTCCCCACTATGGATATGTGACTCATTTGTTCCAGCACCCTTTGTTATAAAGACTGTTCTTTGCTCACTGGACTGTTTGGTGCCTCTATGAAGAACCAGGTGGCCTTGTAAGTGCAGGTCTCTCTGGGCTCTCTCTGTCCACTCACCAGTTTGTTGTGCCTTAGCAAGTACCAGACTGTTTTGATTACTGTAGCTGTAAAGTGAGCCTGGAGTTGGATAATGTAAGTTCTTTACATTGGTTCTTCTGTCTTAAGATGACCTTGGATGTTCTTCCATGGCATTTCCATATAAATTTTGCCATTAGCCTATCAGTTTCTTTAAAAACAACAAAACCCCAGTGACATTATGGTTGGGATTGCATTGAATCTACCGATCGGTTTTAGGAGGATTGCCATCTTGACAATACCATATCTTCAAATCCATGAACATGGTATATCTCACTGTTTAATTTTTTGTCATCAGCATTGTATAGTTTGCAATGTAGAGGTGTTACATTTTTAAATAGGCCTTTGCTAAGTATTTCAGAGTTTTTGATGCCATTGTAAATGGAGTTTTTTCCAGTTTTCTACTAGTACATTAAAGTACAACTGATTTTTTTTTTAATATTAATCTTGTATCCTGTGACCTTGTATTGGATCTGGTAGTTACTTTGTAGATTCCTTAGAATCTACAGAAATCTTAGAAATGCATATTTTCTCTGTGTGTGGATTTTTTTCCCCTCAAAAACGTGTTGAACCTTTCCCCATTTGGTAGCTGTGGGTCTGCCCTCCTGTCACCTTTTAAGGGGGACAAGCTTGCAAACTTATCTATGCTGTCCCCGTCCCCCCCCCCCCCCATGTCCCTGCTCCTGGAGGTTCTGCGCTCTCTCCGCCTCCTCCTCACTGTCCCGTTCACCCGCCCACTGTGCCCATCCCGGGTAGCCTGTGGAGGGCACACACGTCCTCTCTGCTTCCCAGCCCACCGTCCTCCACCGTGCTGGCTGGCAGCTCCCAGCTCTAACACTGATGTTATTGAACACTTGAAAATTTGTCTGATAGGGGAAAATTGTATCTTGTCCTTTTCTTTTCCCTGATTTCCAGTGAAGCTGAGCAGCTCCTGCTGTATGTTTTGGCCTTCGATTCCTCTGTGTTTATTTGCAGTGTTTGATTCACACTTGACGGATTTCTAGGGACAGTGTGAGTGAGAGAAGAATCCAGAGGACTCCAGTTGCTGCAGTTGCAGCCCGTGGCGTTCTCTGCATCTTTGCCACTGCCCTCGTTTCTATTGTGTTGTGATTTGCTCTGATACCCAGTCGTCCTCTTTTCCTGTTGCTTTTTCTTTTTAAGAAATGTTTCTACTATTTTTATGCATTTAGTTTTTGTTAAAAAAAATAATCTTTAGAACTAGCTTTACAGGTTTGCTTAAAAATCCTGTCGAAATTTTGACTGAAGCAGCATCAGATTTTTATGGGAAGCACCGAGCTCCTGCTCCTTCTCATGGTTGCCAGTTGGTATACATGTTCTAGGGGCCCCACGGTGGCTGGAGGTGACGGCAGTGCTTGGGCACCCCCTGCTCACCCCTCTCACCTTCACCCGTGCCCTCGCCCGGTCGTAAAGCTCTGGCTTTATGATCGAGTGTGGCTGATATTTTGCCGTGGAGTGTGATGCTCGCCGTAGGTTTCCAGAAGGTATTCTGTCAGGGAGCTTGCTTCTCTTTGTGGCTTCATTATATTTCGTGTCATGAGCGGGTTGTGCGTTTTGTGGAATCCTCCAGACGCCTGTTGTGGTGACCGTGGCCTCCACTGCAGCACCACTCTGATAGGCTTCTGTGCAGAGCCAGCCTTGGGCACACCTCGCTGGGCACACGTGTTGTTCTCTTAAAACCCTCTGGCTTTGACTTGCTGGCGTGTGCCTGGGCTTTGCGCCTGTTTTAATGGAAGCCACAGGCCTCTGCTTTGCTTCCTCCGTCCCTGTCCTGCCAGCCGTGAGGAAGCTGCAGCCTGGGCCCCCACCGTGCCCTGGAGCAGCCCCCCAGCCCAGCCATCTTGGCCCTCCAGGGTGCCTGGGCTCTCTGGGGACAGGCTTTTGCTTTTAATGAGGTGCTGAGTAAATTGCCTTATTCCGGGCAGTAAGGGAAACTGCTGAAGTGTCACCTCAGACGTCCCAATTATGCCCGAGGCTGCTGAGAGCTGGCGCACAACCAGGCTAGGGAGCTGCCCCAGGCCTCTGTCAGCAGTTTGGGGTGAGGGACCCAGGGCTGGTGGTGTCCCCTGACTTTGGATTGGTTGGGGTGGGCCTTTCAGACCTTTCTTGGTGGTCGCCTCCCCTGGTTGTCTCGGGAAACCTGCGGGCAGTCCTCCCGGGCAGCGAGGTCACTGCTGCACCCCAGCCTTGAGTCTGTCTGAGCTGAGCCCCGTCACCAGGCAACGCGTTTGACCCTGGCCTGTCCCGCTGTGTCGGCCTGGGCAGAGGGGGCCTTTGTCCAAGATCCGCACACTCCTACGGGCCATGTGCTGGCAGAGAGCACGTTTGAACATGTGTTTTATTAGCAATTTTGAAATAAATACATTATTCAGCAAAAGTCAAACCCCAAGGCCATGCCCTTTCTGTCCAGGCCTGCCCACACCTCTTGCCTGCCGGCCGGCCCCACCCTGCCAGGCCTGCGTGCCCTGTGGTCTGTCTCAGCCGTGGCCCTTTTCCCCGACCTGGCACTCGTCCCTGGGGCCTGCACCCTGAGGTCTTGGCGGACTGCTCGGCGCTTGTCTTCACTATGCAGGGGACAAAGGAGTGTGCGACTCTCCCAGCCGGTGGCTTCCTTTCTTTAAGTCAAGGGCCGCTTCTGCTCACTGTCCCTTGGCCCACTCCTTTGTGCCCAGGCCACTTTTGCCAGTGTCCCTTTACAAAAGGAAGACTCCTCTGTGCCCGCAACTCCAGTCTCATAATCAAGCCTGTAATTAAAAAGTGTGTCTCTGTGATTAAGAGGAAAAAAATAGCTCAGAGCCGGCTCACCCCAGGGTTCTGGGGCAGAATGTAAGTGACAGCAGGAAAAGGAGGCTGCGGCAGGGCTTGTGCTGTCATGTGCCTCCGCCGGGCTCTGGACCGGGGTGGCAGTTAGCTTCTGCTGCTCTCTGACCTGCTGCTCCTCCGCCCACAGAAATCGAAGCCATCAAGCTGGCCGAGCAGAAGCGCAGAGAGGCACAGCGGCGGAGGGCCACGGCCGTGGTGGGGGACCTGCAGCCCCTGAGGGATGCCCTGCCTGAGCTGCTGGGGCTCGAGGCCAGCAGCCGGCACCAGGCCCACGGGTGAGTGTCCGGGCACTGGCCCCACCCTGGGGCTGGGGCGTTGGGCAAGGGCCCCTGTGACTCTTGAACCCCAGGGAGGCCTGTGACACCCTAGTAGCTGTCCTTGGGGTGAGGTCGCAGGCAGGCGTGGCTCTGTCTGGAGACGTTTCGGGAGAGGCCTGGTGACTGCTGATGCCACTACCCATACCCCCGCCTGTCCCCAGCACAGCCTCCCCCATGTGTCTACCGCCCTTTCCCACCCGTGTTGCAGGGGGCGCCCTCAGCCCCCCATTCTCAGCCCGCCCAGCACCGCACACTCCCCTGGTGCACCCACTGCAGACACGCTTGGCCGGGCTGGGTCTGGCTGTGTTCTTACAGCCTCTCCAGGGAAGAGGCAGGGCCCCCCACGCCGCTCCCCCGCCTCTTACCGAGAGCTGGGGGGTGATCTGTGCCCCGAGTGAATGAGCCATCACGCCACTGGCCTGGGCCTGGGCTTTGTCCTCGTCAGCAGTGACCCCACAGCCTCTCTGCGCTGGGGGGGGTCTGGCCCCTCTGCAGGAGCCCACCTCCCGGGTGCCCCTCCAGACCCCTGTCATGGAGTGGCCATTTGCTGGTGATGGGTTTCATGTGTCCTGAAGATGCAGTTGTGGCCCCGCGGCCTTCTGTGGCGTGTGGGCCCTGGAGTGGCTCAGCCGGGAGGACAGGGGGCGGGCTGGTGGTGGAGAATGGCCGTCTCTGCCCCTTCTGAGGCTGCAGCCTGCGCGACGTCCCCCAGAGGCTGTTTTTGGGTTCCCTGTGCCTGGGGGCGTGCACGCGAGAGCAGAGCGGCCTCTGCCCCCCTGGGCCGGCCGGGCGCTGGCCGGGTGTGGGTGCGGACGCGGGCTGGGCGCCAGGGTGTGGCGTCTGCGCCTCTGCCCCAGCACTAAGGGATGGGCGGGAGTGCCGGGGCTTTCTGTCCCCTCCCGGTTGCTGGGCCTTCCTCATTTGTTGTGTCATCTCTGATTTTGCCTTTTTAAAAACAACTTTTCTTTCTTCTACTCAGCTTCTGTCTGGGCAGGAAGCAGGGGCTATAGTGTGCAGTGTCAGGTCCGGGGGTGGCGGGTGACATGCTGCAGAACCCGATGGTCCCAGGCCGGCTGCCTGAGATGGAAGCATCCGGAACGTTAGGACCAGATGAGATTTGACGACTGGACAGAGCCGACGATGCAAATTCCATTCCTGGTTCTTGAACAAAAATGTGACCCTGGTCAAGTATCCTTTCCCTGTTTTTAGTTTTCTCATCTGAAAAATGTGCTCGGGGCCTCCAGAAGGCAGAGAGCTGCGTAAACACCCTGGCCTGCCAGGGACGTGCCCACAGCTGGGCGGCGCATGTGCCCGGCTGCCTCCGCTGTCCGGGTGAGGGGGGCTGGCACCTGCACTCAGCCCCGAGGGCCTCCTGCAGGGCACCTCCCTCCTCAGGTGCGTCTTGGCCGGCGAGCGTCTGGCCCTGGGGGAGCCCTCTGGACAAACTTCGTTTTGTTACTTAATGCAATTCCATTTTGTCTTCAGAGGCAGGGCCTCGCTCTGTTGCAAGGCTGGGGCGCAGCGGCAGTGATCTCAGCTCACTGCGGCCTCCTGCTCCGGACTCCAGTGACCCTCCTGCCTCTGCCTCCTGGGTAGCCGCCACGCGGCTGACTTTTAAAAATTGTTGGTGGAGATGGGCATCTCGCCCTGTGGCCCAGGCTGGCCTCCAGCTCCTGGCCTCAAGCAGTCCTCCTGCCTTGGCCTCCCATGGTGCTGGGTTACAGGCGTGAGCCGCCGCGCCTGGCCTTAGTTTTTATTTCAAAACAGTGTAGATTTGTAGAGAAACGGCAGAGAGTTTCATGGCCCTCACACCCAGTTTCCCCTGTTATTAAGTAACATCTTACGTTAATATGATACATTTGTCTCAATTAAAGAGCCAATGTCGATTCATAATGATAAGGTATTTAAAATAATAATTAATTACAGCCCATACTTTAGATTTTAATTTCCCCCTGATGTCCTGTTTCTGTCCCAGGACCCCACCAGTGTTGGTCATCTGTCCCCTCAGGCCCCTCCTGCCGGGACCTGCTGGGTGGTCTCGCGCTGGTGACCTGGGTGGTCCGGGGAGGACAGTCGGGCTCTTGGTCGGTGCCCCCAGCGGGGCTGACCGGCGTTCTCCTCGTGGGGAGGGGGTGGAGGGCTGTGGGGAGGGAGCCCCGCGGGGACGGGCCCTCGTCACCTCCTGGTCTCGGGGCTCACACTGCCGACGCGGCTCGTCTCTGCGATGCTGCCCTGGTGGGGCCGACGTCTGTCAGGGCCTCCTGGACGGTGACCCCTTGTCCACGCCGTCCTCCCAGAAGGAGGTCGCTGTGCTGGGCCACACGGCAGGGCTGGGGGCTGCGCCCCCTCCAGACCCCGCGCCTGCGTGAAGGACTCGGAACCCTGGGCGGGAGCTTTGCTCTTCTCCCCATTCATTTGTGCCGTTCGTTCTCGTCCGTGTGGACGCGGATGTTTATGGTGTGCTCTGGGCTATCATCCAACACCACTTTATTTTGTTGCTGAAATTGTCTAGCGTTGGCCTTGGGGTGGGCTCCTGGGTCCCCCAGACACCCCACCGATGGGGGCGGGTCTGGCACCTCCCTGCTGCCTGCGCTGGCGTGTGCTGGGCTCGTCTCGGGCATCTCCCGCCCGGTCCTGCATCAGCCGCGTCTGCAGGGCGCCCTGGTTCCTGGGCGGGAGGGTGCGAGGCAGGCGGGCTGTGCGCCTGGGGCCGTTGCTGCTGGGCCCCAGAGCCCACAGGGCAGAGAGGCGGGTGTGGATGCTGACCTGTGCACGTTCACAGGGCCACCCCTCTCCCGACACCAGCTGCCAGGGTGGGGGTCCCTGAGAACACACACCCTGAGGTTTGTTAACTCTCTGGAAGGATTCACTCAGCGCTCACCCCCGTGGTCATGGTTGTCACAGTGAGAGGACACGGATTAAAACCAGCCGAGGGGGAGAGGCGTAGGGCAGAGCTCGGGAGGACATTCCCCAGCTGTCGCCTCAGCTGTCCCCGGCAGGGCTGGCATGCCTCGCCCGTCACCCCGCCCTGTGCCCTGTGCGGCTTCCTGGCCTGTTGGCTGCCCAGTCCCATCCCAGACACTCCAGTCCCCTGTGTGGTCCCCGTGTGGTCCCCTGTGGTCTTCCAGTTGCGGGGTCAGGGCTGGGCCCTCGGCTGCTCTTCCCCTGCGGTGCCTAGGAGCCTCCGCGGGGCGGGCTTCCACAGTGCAGAGACCTGGCCATTGGAGACAGCTCACGCCAGGAGTGCCTTTCTAGAGCACATACCTTGCGTGACTCGCACAGCTGACGGTGCTTCTGTTACCCTCCCTCCGCCCCCGGAATGCCCTGGATTCAGAGTTGGAAGGGACCTGGTGTGGGGACATCCTGTGGCCCTGGCTCTGAAGTCACCGAGGCTCTGGTCCTCCACAGCCGTTGCAAATCCGTGGTGCGGCCCGGCTGTGCTTGCCTTGCAGGGTGGTCGTGGGAGCCTGGGGCTCTGAGCCAGCCCAGCGGGTCCTCACCGTGTCCTCCAAGTGTCCACTATGCCTTCCACTGTGTCCACCTGTCAGGGCAGGCACCGCAGCACAGACAGCTGGGACCTGGCATGGAGGCTCTGCCAGGGAGTCCACGAGGACCCTGAGCCAGCAGCCAGCGTGTCCCTGCCGTTGATAAAAGGCCGGATTCTTTAGGAAGTGGACCCTGTGGGGGCCGCAGAGCCACACCGGCTGGGCCGTGTTCTTTCCAGTGAATGAGGTCGGGCAGCCCGTGGGCTTTCCTGTGGGTGCAGGGACACAGCCCCGGTGGCTGTGGGTGTACCCAGGGCTGCTGCTTCGACACTCAGAGCACCCCAGGCCAGCCTCCCTCCTGCCACCACCCTGCCAGATGACAGCTGGGCACACATTGTGTTGGAGGTCACTGTGCCCCTGCGGGTGGACTGTGAGGCCTGCTCCTGGGGCTCTTTCCAGACTTGTCTGGGGTTCCCCGTGCCCAGCAGGTGCCTGGGTATACGGGCTGGTGGGGCAGACACTTCCCCAAAGTCTGCAGTGGGCGTTTTCTGGGCCTACCTGTGGTGGCCCATTGCTGTTGGGACCTGTAGTGCCCGACATTTTATATCAGGGAAACCGAGGCCTCGTGCGGTGGAAGGGCTTCTCCGAGGCTCGTACGAGATGGTACCAGGTCATCCAGGTCGGGTGGTCTCTACAGCCACTGCCCCCCGCTGGTCGGGCTGGGGTCCTCCAGGCAGGGCTGTGCAGCTTCCGTCCTCCAGCCCAGGGCACGTGGCCCCAGGCTGTGTCCCTGTGAACCGCACGGTAGGCGGCAGGCAGGCCCCCATCCCGATGTCCCCCGCTCCCGCGCTTGTACGCTGCTGGCTGGCCCTGCTGAGGCTACCCTCGGGAGTCGCCAGGGCAGTTTCAAGCAGGCTGCAGCCTGGGCCTGCCCCTGCCCTCTCTGGATGAGCCCGAGCAGGATCAGGTGCCAGGCCTGCTGGGTTATGAGCTCAGGGGGCCTGGAGCATTGGGGTTGGGGTCTCCCCTCAAGGGTGGGCTGCCCTCTGTCCTGCCTGGGGCCCAGCCCTGAAGTTCCTGCCTCACGGCATCATGCAGCTGGAGCAGGACATGCCTGGCCGACCTTGGGAAGCCAAGCAGCGGGTCACAGGAGCAGGACCTCAGGGGCTTCCTGGGGCCCCCTCCAACCCCCAGGACCCTGTCGTGGCCCTGCCCCGAGGGCCTCCTGTCCTTGGCATGGTGGGGGGGCGCAGTGGGATCTTAGAGGCCGTGAGGACAGGGCCCATCTGTTGGGGTCTGGCACAGCTGCCAGGGTGGAAGTCTTGACCTCGAGACCCCCGAGGCTCTGGCCTGGGTGTTCTAATGTCCACTGTGCAGGTAGCCACCACTGAGAGCAGTTGTGGAGCTGGGGGAGTGTTGCCCCCATGGGGTGGCGGTGAGGTCACTGGGGGGGCTGGGAGGGCCTGTGCCGTGGGTGAGGCTGAGACCTGGATTCAGTCGCTCTGCTGTGGTTCCTGCCCTAGGACCCCGGGAGTCCTGTCATGGAGGGTGCTGACCATCAAGGGTCACCTGGTCCACAACAGTAACGGGAAACCTGTCAGAAGGTGTGCCCCACCTGGGGGTGTTGCTCACTGAGCCCTGCGTGTGCCACAAGGCTCAGGCGGGGGGCGTGGGGGTGCCTTCCCGTTGCCTCCCACCCGTGGGGGACTCACACCTGGCCTGTGGGCACCGAGGGGACTCTGGCCCGAGGCCTTGGGAGGCATCAGTCCGGCCCTACCTGCTGTGTGTCTCTTTGTGAGGGTCCCTGCTGGGAGGGCTGCCAGGCCCACTGAGGTGCAGCACCAGATGCGGCCTGCTGGAGGAGGGACCCCTTGGCGACCACTTCCGATGGGGGGTGGAAGGGAGGACCTGAGGCTGCTGAGGGTGGACACCAAGGCCGCCAGCAAGGGGCGCAGAGCTGCGGTGTCCTTGCCAAGGCTGGCCAGGAGAGGTGGCTGCGGAGAGGGTGTCAGCAGGACACGGACAGCTGTGGCGGGTGGGGGAGACACGAGCGGAAGGGAAGTGGGGCTGGCGGTCCTTCCAGATCAGCCCAGGAGCCAGGGCGACAGGAATGTGAAGCTCTGGCACTATTTTGAGTAGACATAAAATGTCTTTCATTCATATTTTAAAAGAATCATGTATAAAAGATCAGGTCTCCTGGTCTGGAGTCTAAATTTAGGTGTGGCCTGAGGGCCGAGCTGGCTTTCTGCCCTCCCCGCCCTCCGCGGAGGACGCCTGCGTGGTGCCCCAGGGCTCTGCTCTTCCCGCCAAGGGCCCAAGCCTTGTGCGCCATTCCACCGTTGGGCCGGCCGCGGGCTGCCTTGGCCACGCTGAGCGCAGGGAGGCTGCGTGGGCTCCCCGGGATCATGGGTCACCGACGAGAGAAGGTGCCACGTGACGGGAGCCGGCTGGGCTTGAGGCCAGAGAGAGGCACCCGCCTGGTGCTGAGCCGGCGTGGCGCACTGGCCCAGTGTCCTGAGTTGAGGCCCAGTGTGGCAGTTTGGAGGATCGCAGGAAGAGGTAAACCGAGGAACCTGTCAGTATGCGACGTCCTGGCCACGTGGCTGGCGGCAGCCCACCCTGACGAGGGGCTCTCCCACGTGGCCGGCGTCCTCCACGGGCATAGGAGGACCTGCGTGGGGCCACGTCTGCCCTTTGGTGTGTCGTGACTGTGGCGGGGCAGCACCCCAGTCTGGCATAGCCTCGCTTTCCATTCCCTTTGTCTGGAGAGAGGTTGGAGGGCAGCGCAGCAGGAGCCAGGGCGGCGGTCTGTGCGGGACGTGGTGTGTGCGGCGAGGGCGGGGGCGTGTGGAGTGTGGGATGGGCCTGCTCTGCACCGGGGCTGGGCGGCGTGCTGTGTGTCCTGAAACGCCCGTCATCCCGTGTCACGCCGGAGCCCAGAGGGCCCACGGCACATCCCTTGACGTCCAGCTCCCGTGACGTCCAGCCCCGATTCCGTGGTCGGGCGACTGCTGGGCTCCTGCAGCCAGAGCGCAGCAGGGACTTGTGGTGCTGGGGTGGTCTGGTCCCCTGGGCCACTGCAGTGCCTGCTCGGGGAGGGGAGGCCCAGGCCTGCCGTGGGACGGTTTCCAGGGTGCCAGGTGTGGAGCTGACGTGGCTTCTCTATGTCCACAGCAGGGCAGGCAGCAAGCCCAGGCCCACCGAGCTCAGCAGGATGAGCGCAGCCCAGAGACGCCAGCTCCTGTGAGTACCAGCCCTGCGCACCCCCCGCCCCGCGCCACGGGCTGTCTCCTTGTGTTTGCATTCCGACTCCAGGTGTGGCACGTTTAGAAGTCCATGGTGTCCTCTGGTCAGGCCCTTGGAGGCCAGCTGCCCCTCAGGCTGCTCCTGGGGGAGTTGCAACGCCTCCCTCTTGCCCTCCTGCCCCTGGCTGGTCAAACTCTGGGTGATGTGGCCGAGCCCCTCTGCTGGCCGCACCTCGGCGCCCGCAGCCCCCGTCCTGTGGAAAGTGATAGAAAAGTCACAGACCACGCCCTCTGCCTCTGCAGAACTGGCGCCAGGTCCCACCACTCGCTCTGGAGGCCAAGGGGCCGGACGTCACGTGCGGCCGGAGTGTTGGTGGCTGCTGAGACGGTTTTCTTTGTTTCAGGAGTAACTTTGCTGATGTGTTTTTAGGGTGCAACGTTTCGTGTCAGTTCTTAGGCCTACTGTGCTTTTTCAGTTTGTAAATTAGTCTTTTTTAGTGATGACTATTATTTTTGGAGACTTGTTTGAATTACATCTGCAGGCGTTTCTCCTGCACCGTCCCATGGGTCTGTCTTTGAAAACACTAGCTATGCGTTTATTGGGTCTTTTGCTCTTTCGTCTATACCACTTTTACTCTAGGCACTGTTGTTTTTTTTTTTCCTGGCAGAGTCTCACTCTGTTGCCCAGGCTAGAGTGCCGTGGCGTCAGCCTAGCTCACAGCAACCTCAAGCGCTCAAGCGATCCTCCTATCTAGGTATTTTTTAGCCCTGAATTTTTATTATCTTATAGTTTTTATTTTTATTTTTTTAGAGACGAGGCCTTGCTGTGTTGCCCAGGCTGGGGAGCAGGGGCTCCAGCGATCCTCCCGTCTCAGCCTCCCGAGCAGCTAGGTCTTTTCACAGCCTTGGAGCTCCTGGGGCTGGCCGCCCGCAGCCTGCATCCACTCCCTGAGAGCCCGTGGACCTGTCCCTGTCCTCGCAGGTGACAGGTCTCTTCCTACAAACCTCTGTTTTAGGTGGTCCAGGCTGACACCTGGGGGCCTGGCAAGGGCCAGAACACCCCTCCCCCACAGCCTTAGCAGTGTCCTCCCTTGTGCACGTGCGCACGCGTGTGCTCTGCACACGGCGCCGGCTCCAGGAGTCACTGTCGGGTGCCTGTCCTTCCCCAGCCTGCACAAGCCGCAGGGTCACAGATGGGCTCGTCGGCGGTGTTGCCGCTGTGAGTGAGGCATTTCCCTGCTGACCTTGCGAGCAGAGCCCCAGCTGTCGTGCGGGGCCAGCGTCAGCAGCAGGAGGAGGTGTCAGTGGTGCCAGCAGAGCCCTGGCAGCCTGTGCGTGGGGACAGGCCTGGCCGGCTGTGGCTTCGGCCCCAGTGCAGTGTTTTAGCCACTGAGCCTCGGGCCCCACTGCCCTCCGCGGTCTGGGGTACGAGCACCCAGCTCAGTCACCGGGAGTGAGGGGCCCCTTTCACAGCCGGGAGAACCAGGCCCAGTGTGGTGGGACCCGCCCTGGGTCACGCACACGGGGCACCCGGCTCAGCCTCCCAGCAGGTCGGGCATGAGCCTGTCCAGGAGTTGCCCCCTGAGGCTTACACTGGGTCACCTTTGTCGTCCACAGGGCAGCTAGCTGGGCTCACGTGGCCGTTGCTGGCTATGGGGCTGGCAGAGCACGAGCTGGCCCTGGGCTTCCAGAAGGTGGCCCAGCCCTGCTGGGTTCAGAGCGGGGGCCAGGGCCAGGGCGGGCAGCGCTGGGCTGTCTGCCGCCTCTGCCACAGGCCTGGGTGGCCGCCCTCCTCGCCCTAGGCATCTGCCATGGCCGTGCTGTGCAGGGAGGCACCTCCTACACGAGGCCCTGTCTGCAGGGTGAGGGAGCCGCTGCCCGTCCTCAGCCTCCCGCCTCAGCAGCAGCCCTGTCCACGCCCTGGGCCTGCTGGCAGGGCAAGGCCCCGTGGCAAGCCCCACGGTGGGCGCAGGGGCTCCAGGGCCTGCCTGTGGCTGAGAGGAGGAACCAGGCGGGCATTCCTCTCCTGCCGGAAGGCCCAGGCACTCAGTCCCGCGGTGACGCCAGGCCTCTTCTGTCCACTCTGGTATCAGCTGTCCCATGGTGCCCGGGTGTGTGGTGGCCGAGCCTGGGGGTGCTCAATCTGTGTCTCTGGCTCCCCTCACTCAGGGGGGTGGGAGTCTCTGTGCTGCCACTTGCTGACCTCGGTCTCCGTTCTTTCAGCGACGAAGAAAGGGCCCGGTTCCGGGAGCTGCTGGCCAGTCCGGCTTACAGAGCCAGCCCCCTGCTGGCCATCGGGCAGCGGCTGGCGCACCGGATGCAGCTGGAAGGCGGCAGCGAGCTGTGAACGGACAGGGCAGGCCACGGCTCTCAGGACGCACCTGCCGGCAGAAGCGCCCAGGGAGCAGCCGGCCCCTCAGGAACACGGCCCTGGCCTGGCGGCTGCCCCCAAGCCTCTTGGCATGGCGGGGGGTGTGGAGACGGTGAGGACCAATAAAGTGCCCGCAACCTTCCTCTGTGCCCCTCAGGAACACGGCCCTGGCCTGGCGGCTGCCCCCAGGCCTCTTTGGCGTGGCAGGGGGTGTGGAGACGGTGAGGACCAATAAAGTGCCCGCAACCTTCCTCTGTGCTCCTCAGGAACACGGCCCCGGCCTGGCGGCTGCCCCCAGGCCTCTTTGGCGTGGCAGGGGGTGTGGAGACGGTGAGGACCAATAAAGTGCCTGCAACCTTCCTCTGTGCTCCTCAGGAACCATGGCCCTGGCCTGGCGGCTGCCCCCAGGCCTCTTTGGCATGGCGGGGGTGTGGAGACGGTGAGGACCAATAAAGTGCCGGCAACCTTCCTCTGTGCCCCGGTGCTCGGGCCGGGCGAGGGGCCCCAAGCCCCGTGCAGAGGGACTCTGTGGGTTTGGGGACTGCATTTGCTCGACACCTGGGCTTGTCTGGGCTTCACCGCCATCCCTGAGCCAGCACCGGTGCCTCTGAGGCCATGACGCAGCTCGCGGTGTTGTTAGTTTAGGGAAGGAATCTGTCACTGTGCAGGTGACGTGGGCTCTTCTGTGCCCACCGCTATTCGCCTTCAGCGAGAGTCTTTGCTGTGCCTGGCCCTGGCGGGACCCATCTCCTGACAGGAGTGCTCGGGCCCCGGGCTGCCCGGCCCTCCCATCTCAGAGCCCCCCATCCCTGTGCTCCCCCGCGTCCCCCAGTGTGGATGGATCTCGCCACGGCCGCCCGGTCCTGACCCCGTCATCGTCACCTCCCGCCCCGGGCCTCACCCCTGCGAGCGCTGTTCCTGAGGGTCTGCCCAGCCTGCTGCGAGCTGGGCCCTCATCCCTGTGTCCTCGGGCCTGCAGAGCAGGGGTCCTCCGCGGGCCCTGCCCAGGAGCCCCGGCTGGCCCACAGCAGGCGGATTCACGTTCGTTAGGAGCCACTGGGAAGTGGGGTTGGTTGTTGGACTCAGACACATCACCTGGTAAACCGTCGTTTTCAGGACGTGGAAAGTGAGGGGCTGGCGTGTCCCCAGGCCCTGAGGCCCAGCCGGGCCCCCAGCTCTTTCCCCAGGCACCCCCCTGGGCAGTGAGGCTCACGGGTCCCAGTGCAGCTGTGCTCATGTGCCCAGGCGCCTCTCGCTCCTGTCCACAATCAGGCTGCCAGGAGGACAGTCCCCCCGTGGGGGCGGCAGAGCTGTGCAGTGCAGGAGGACAGTCCCACCGTGGGGATGGCAGAGCTGCGCGATGTAGGAGGACGATTCCACAGTGGGGACAGCAGAGCTGTGTGGTACAGGGGGACAGTCCCACCGTGGAGGCAGCAGAGCTGTGCGGTGCAGGAGGACGATCCCACGGTGGGGATGGCAGAGCTGTGTGGTACGGGGGGGACAGTCCCCCCGTGGAGGCGGCAGAGCTGTGCAGTGCAGGAGGACGGTCCCACCGTAGGGGCGGCAGGGCTACTCCGTGCAGGAGGACGGTCCCACTGTGGGGATGGCAGAGCTGTGTGGTACGGGGGGGACAGTCCCCCCGTGGAGGCGGCAGAGCTGTGCAGTGCAGGAGGACGGTCCCACTGTAGGGGCGGCAGGGCTACTCCGTGCAGGAGGACGTTCCACTGTGGGGGTGGCAGGGCTGCGCGGTGCCGACGGTGCTGCAGGACTGGCTGGCCCCAGCAGTGGAGATGGCTGAGCAGAGACCTAAAAGAGCAGAGGTGGAGGCAGCAGGCGTCCCATCCACGGAGGCGGACACAGACTGTCCCAGGAAAGTAGCTTGAGAACCTCGGGTGTGGGGGGTGTCACCCTCCCGTCCGAGAGAGCAGGAAGGGCGCGTTCCAGGCGGTCAGGCACCACTCAAGTTAGACTCGGGCATCAGCGGAGCGCTGCTCCATGCCAGCCACCACGCAGAGTCGGCCCGTTTTTCCCAGAAACAAGTGGCATGCGTTGACAGACGCCCTGAAGTGGTCACTCTCCAGGGCCTGCTGTAGGACTTTCCTGTCTTTGTGTGTGTGCATCTCCTAATCTTCGTAGAATGCACACAAATTCTTTGGTAATAATTCTAAGTAAAGGAGTGCTCCAGTTCAGTGGTTTTCACGCTTTTTAAACCCTGGCCATGTGTTCTTTTTTCATTTAAAGGGTAAACAGAGCAGATAAAAGCCTCTTGGGGCCTGGAGGTGCCCTGGCGCCGGCCTACAGGGCCCTGGAGGAGCCCGGCCTGGGACGGTGCCCTCCCGAGACCGACCCAGCATGTCCTCATTGCTGGCACACGGGTGGGAGACGGGGGGCACCGCAGAAAGGGCGAGGGAGGCTCGAGTGGTGGGCCCCCGTGGGTCTTGCAGGAAGAGCAGTGTGGGGGGGGGCGCACTTGGCACAGCGGCTCCAAGGAGGCTGCGGGAATGTCCCTCCCCAGCAGCAGCTGCCTGGGTCCCCCTCCCCTAAGAAAGCACCTGCGCCCCCTTGCCTCCCCCACGCAGGCCCTCACTTTCACAGTGGGAGCAGCCACGAGCCTGGGAGCTGCGTGCCGGTCTCCAGCTGCCGTCCCTGCACTTGGGCAGCCAGACTGTTTCCCGCGGGTCTGGGCCCGGCTCCCTGCCTTGGAGGACTTGCCAAGTGAGAAGTTTCCCAGGGCTGGAGCAGCAAGTCGCCGCCCACCGGGTGGCTTAGAACAACCAGCTTGCTCCCCTGCAGTCCAGGCTGGGAGTCTGGTGTCTCGGAGCTGCACCCCCGAAGGCCGCAGGGAGGGTCCTTTGCTGCTTCTGGTGCTGGCTGCCACAGCCCTTGGTGTCCTTGGCTTGTGGCCACATTGCGCTCTTGTGTGCCCCTGCGGCCCCCCGAGGAGGGCACCGCTCGAGTTGGGTCAGGGCTCCTGCTCTGGTGTGACCTCCTCTTTCGTGACCGCCCAAAGGCTCCGTTTCCAGGCAGCGAGGTTCCGCGTCTCTGGAGGTGTGGTGCTGGGTGGTGATGTGAGCACCCGGCCTCTGAGAGCCCCCACCCCACCGCCAGCACAGGCCCGCTGCCCACCCACCCACGTGCCGGGACGTTGCCAACCAAGGTCACGCTGGGAACCGTGAGCTGCTGGGAACCGTGAGCGGAGGGAGGTTGGTGGCGGGGACGCGGCGGGGTGGGGAGCACGGCGTGGACGCAGCTTCCGGGCCTGCGAGTCAGGCCCTGCAGCCGTGCCTGTTGGGGTTCTGTGCTGCTGGAAGCCAAGTCTTGCACAAACACCAGGCGTCTGGCTTCTGGAATGTTCCCTGTACAGTGATAACACGGGCGGCAGCCTTGGTCTTGCCCTGGAACGCCGGCAGGTGCTGCTGCCACCAGGCCTCGCCTGCGCGTGGCCGCTCCAGCCTCCCGCGTCCCCGTCCGCCAGAGGCCAGCTTTCCTGGGTGCTGCTGCCAGGCGTGGGGCGCGCGGGTGGAGATGGTGGGGTGCTGGCCTCCTGTCTCCTGCCGGGAAGGCACAGACCCAGTCACGATGTTTTTCCTGCGAAGATGTTAAAGTAATAAAGGTCAAAATGGTAATTGCACATCTGCTTCTGACGTCGGGTTGGTTTGTCTTCCCGAAGGTTGAGGAATCTCAATGTCAGGGTGTTGGGAGGCCACTCGGAGAAAACCAGCGATCACCTGTGTTTCCAGATGTTTCCTCCAGTGCCGCAGACAGTGCCCGGGATGCCGGAGTCTGCGCAGCCGGGCGGCCTGGGGCCCTGTCCCTCCCGGCACTCCTGCCACGCCCATAGGGAAGGCCCAGGGCCCCTCGAGGTGGCCCCCAGTGGGCCTGGCGGGGAGAGCCGGGCCTGGGCACCGAGCTGCCCCACATGGCCCCGAGCGCTCGCTCCAGCTCCTCAGGTGTGTGCGCAGCAGGCCAAGGGCCACACCCACGGGGCCCTGGAGGGACGGCACCCTGGACTGGGAAGACCAGACGCACCGACATGCAGAACAGACTGTCCTGTCTACGGCCTTGCCGAGGGGCCGGCCCCCTCTTGCTCCCTGATGCCTGGGGCATAAACTCCCACTGCACACACATAACCACGCACACCACACACCCCACACTCACACAAATTCACACCCTGCACCCCCTGGCCGTCTTTCTTCCAGGAGGGAAAGCTGCGCTGCCAGGACCGTGGCCTCCCCCGCCCCCGGCCTCCCACCTGGTGGCGGGACAGGAGGTCGTTCCTGCAGGCAGGTGGGGGCCTGCTGAGCCGAGGGGCCGTGTGCTTAGTGTGCTTAGGCGGGAGCCCAGCCTGGCCGGGTTGACCCTCCCAGGTGGAGCCCACCTCCCTCCCCACCGGTCTACCCAGGGGAGCAGGGAGCAGCCTCCCGCCCTTGGCCTCTGGGCTTCCTCTCGCAGAGGTAATTATTTTCACGCAGCTTCTCTGCCTCTCCTGGGCCGGGCGGAGAGTCTGATTACACGAAGATGTGTAATTGGAGACTGGGCGCGGGTCGGGCCTTGCCCAGTTCCCAGGGCATGAGCGTGGCAGCCTTTTGTCTTCTGCACCTCCCTGGGGCCTTGGGCGGCTCCTGCACGTGCCCGGGGGTTTGGCTGGACCTGGCCTGGCCCTCAGCCAAACCTGCCCCACCCTCCCCTTCCCAGTGCCCAGAAGCCAGGCCCTGCAGGGCACCGCGGGCTCCCTTCACTCACCCGACAGCCAGGTCCCGGCCAGCCGCGCCACAGCTGCCGAGAGGAGACCCCTCCCCACACGCAGCGCAGTCTTGGGTGTCACGGGGGAGCCTGCCCCCCCTGAGTCCGACCCCTGAGGTCTCCTGGGGAGGGAAGGGGGCGCGTGCAGAAGGCAGGGGGGGCAGGTCCAGCGCCCGTCCCTGGGAGAAGACGAGGTGGGGGGTCAGCGTTCCCGGGACGGGATGGGAGGGAGGGGCGGCCATCCCAGGTACGCGAAGGAACCCAGGTCCGTGCTGGGTGGGGGACCTGCAGCCTCCGATTTCAAGGTTCACTTTTAACCACCAGGGGAGGCGACAAAAGCTTCACCTTTCTCTGCCACACCCTTTCAATAAAAGCATCTGTTCTGCAAATTCTGGATTCACTCGGAAGGCTGCACTTAAGGACCTAGAAGGCCACACCTTGCCTTACAGCGGCAGGTTCCCACCCAGCTCTGGGTGGGCCGGTGTGCCGGGTGGTCGGTGCTTCTCTATGGGCATCGCATGCCTGGCATGTGTCTTCCCCCCGGGCCCTCTCGGGGCCGTGGGTGTCTGCCAGCTGCCACCAACCGCTGCCCCCGCCTCCCCGCCGCGTGACCGTGCAGGGCTGGCCAGCGCTTTCTCTAACTTCACGGATGTGGCCGGGGAGGGTGGGGGCTGGCGGGGAGCACGGCGGGAGCAGCAGCCACTGGCGGCCTGCCCGGGGAGCGGTGGGCAGGATGGCTGCCCTCCCCAGAAGTGTCCCTGTGGCCCAGCTGAAGGTCACATGTCCGAAGGCAAGATAATCCAGTTACGGGAAAGCGACCGTACGTCTGGCCGCCTGCACCCCAATTATCCCCCCAGGAGATGCCTCCACCACCTCTGGGAGCAGAGCGGCGGCTCAGGACACCCCCAGCCACCTGGGCACAGACGCATGGCTGTCGGGAACCCCCCACGGTGGCCTGAACTCCCAGGACCCTGCAGCAGGGCTGGGTCTGAGGCTGAGGGCCCGTGTCCCTGTGTCTGCTGTGGTCTGCCTGGTGGAGACCAGAACCCGGGTCTGCCCGGCCAGGCTGGCCCCGTGGGGCGCTGTCCTTGGTCTGGCCTCCGACCTGGCCGGGGAGTCTTTGGGAAAGTCACACTCCCTCTGCCGGCCCAGTTTCCCTGGTGACTGAGGGCATCGGAGTGGGTGCCTGGCCCCTCCTGGACCAGCCTGCAGTGTCCGGCTCGGGGGAACCCAGGTGATGGGCACGTGACTGAGCCCGGCCAATCAGAGTCTGGCCTGCACGGGGGGCACCTGGTGCTGCCTCCTGGGCCGTGGCTGGAAGTGGTGCCGTGGACATCCAGGGACTGGACCCGAGTCCCCCTGGGACTGCGCTGCTGCAGGCAGGTTTCTGCCCTGACAGCCCCCGCGCCTGCCACTGCCGCCGAGGCCAGTGTGGTTACCTCCGGGACGCCCCGGGCAGGTGCCAGGGGAGCAGCCGCCCTCCCTACCCCACTGAGCCCCAGCGGTGGCCGCTCCCAGGGCACGGGAGGGGGCGAGGGGCTGAACGCAGGCGCCCGGGCTGCTCACCCGTGGGCCCTGGCGCTCTGCATTCCCCGGCCAGCTGACCCTCAGGGCCTGTCTGGAAGTGGGCGAACCGCCACCCCAGGGCTGCTGGGGGAGGCATTTATGTGAGGACTCCCCCAACCCTAATCCTTCCCGCTGGTCACTGCTGGTGGTCAGTGTCAGCCATCCCTGCAGTCCTGTGCGAGGGCCGGTCTGGGGGCCGCAGCAGTGTCGCCCTCAGAGCACTCGGCACTGAGCTGGCCGGGGGGTTACAGGCCGCGGGAGCGTCGCCCACCTGGCCACACTCCTGCGTGTGTCCAAGGCCGCCTCCCCCAGGAGCCCTCCCGGCTGCCCTGTGGTGACCCGTCCTTCCCTCCCGGGCCGTGTGGCTCCCTCCGGTCCCTCCTTTCCAAGAGCCAGAGGTCAGAGACGCCTTTCCAGGCCTGCTCACCCGAGCCCAGCAGGGGGCAGCTCGCAGGGTTGAGCCGCCTCCCTCCCACCCTCACCCGCCCGTCCTGCGGCCCTGCGGGTCTCGGGCCCGTGGGGCGCGGAGGCTCATCTGCAGCGAGCGAGGCCCTTTGCCTCGGAGGCCGGGGCCGAGTCCGGGAGCAGAGCACGAGGGGCACGGGCCTGGTGGGGCCCGGAGCAGGCACCTGCTCAGACAAGCACCGCACACGGCTGGATGAACAGGACAGAGTCCCTAAGGCACGTGTGTGTGTGTGTACTCGAGTGTGCATGCAGGTGCATGTGTGTGCACACATGTAGATGGTGTGTGCAAGTGTGTGCACGCATGAGTACATGTGTAGACGTGTGTGCTTGAGTATGCACATATGTAGATGGTGTGCTCAAGTGTGCACGTGTGAGTACACATGTAGGTGTGTGCACTTGAGTGTGCGCGTGAGTGCATGTATGCAGATGGTGCACTTGAGTGTGTGCGTGTGCAAGTGCGTGTGTGCTGCTGTGCACGCGTGTTTTTAAGGCAAACCCAAACATTCTCCACTGGGCGCGATGGGCGTTCACTTTCAACCACACTCAGAGTGGGCACAAAACCCGTCGTTCCTAACCTGGAGCATTTTATCGAGAAGAGAGATGAACGTTACTGAATTCCTTTTTGGCGCCTGTTGAGAAAATCACCTGTCTCTGTTGCTGTTTTTCCCACCGGCGGTGACCGGTGTCCAATCCCCCTGCGCTGCCCGCGCAGCGTTCCTGGGTCTCGGCGTGGGCGCGGAGGGGGCTCCAGGCCGGGGCTGTGTTGTGTTTGCTGGACCTTCGTTTGGAGTTTTCCTCCCGCTCGTGGGTGAACCGCCCCGTGGCCTTCTGTGCCACTCTGGCATTCCCGAGAGACAGAGGCTTCTCCCGGGCTCCTGCCGCGCCCGGCCCTGGGTCACGGCTGACGCGCCGAGACTTGCAGTCCTGGCTCTTCCATGCTGTCAGCGAAGCGCCCACAGGGCAGGGCTGGGGTGTCACACGCTTCCTCCTGCCTGTGCCTCACCCATCGCCCGTTGTCCCCTGAGGCTGGACCCCACCCCACCCGCCCCGCTGTCCGCTAGGGACCGCAGTCAGGACCCCGACCTCCTCCCAGCCCAAGGGGACAGACCCTGCCCTGGGCCCCGAGCTGGCGGTCTGACCCTTGAACTTTCCCGGGCGTGGGAGTCCAGGTCTGTGGGGCCCCTGCTGCCCCTCCCTGCAGAGGCCCTGGCCTGGCCCTGGGACACCCCGTTGCCCAGCCGCTGTCCTGGCACTGACACTGCCTCTCCCCGGGCGCACATACTATATCAGCTAACATTGATGTACTGCACTAATAGCTAACACTAGTGCACTACACTAATAGCGAACACTCATATACCATATGAATAGTTAACACTAATACCCTTTACTAATAGCTGACACTAATATATGAGTAGTTGACACTAATAATACCCTTTACTAATAGCTGACACTAACACACTGTATGAATAGTTAACACTAACACACTTTACTGACAGCTGACGCTAACATGCCGCACTAACAGCCGACGCTGAGGAACTGTAGTAACAGGGAACACCGATGTTCTGCGCCAAGATCGAACACTGTACAGCAGCGAGCTGGCTGACACAGGCCTCCTTACCCAGACAGCCGCCAGCTTCCACCCGGGCTGGGGCCAGCTGCCCGATGTGCCCGCGTCACTGCCCGACGACACTTGCCGCACGGCAGCTCCACGCCTGGGCAGGCCGGCGCGTGGGAGCGAGCGCCTGCTGGCACCTCCCTGCAGCGCGCACACAGTAGGTGCCCCAGCACTGCGAGTGGACGCTGGTTCTCTGGCGGCACTTGGTAAGGTGGGGATGAGTGTCCTTGTCACCCCAAGGC